CACACGAACACAAAGAACACAAATCAAGATACACACCACGAACACAAGAAACCACACACGAACACAAGAACTACACACACGAACACACACGAACTACAAGATACAAACACTCCACGAACACACACAAACACACGAACAAAGAAAACAAAAAAAGAAAAAATAAAAAAACAAAAAGAAAAACAAGAAAAAAACAGACAAACGAAAAAAAAAAGATAAAAACAAAGAAAAAAGAACAAAAAACGAAAAAAAAAATAGACGAAAAAACGAAAAAAAGCAAAAAAAAAAACGAAAAAAAAAAAGCAAACACAAAGGAAATAAAGAAAAAACACCACAGAACAGTGAAAACAGAAAAAAGAACAAAACAAAAAGAACAAACATAAAAAAAGACACACAAAACGAACACACAAGAAAAAACCAAAAGAAAAAAAGAAAACAAGAACAAACACAAGAAAAAAGAACACAAGAAATCACACAAAACGAGAAAACAAGAGCACACACAACTACAACACGAAAAACACACGAAACAAACACGGAACACATCTACGAACACCAAGAACAAACACACGAAACAAGAACAACAAACGAACACACACGAACACACACACGAAACACAAGAACCCACACCAAGAACACAAGAACACCACACACGAACACACACTAACACAAGAACACACACACGAACACAATGAACAAACACACGAACACACAACGGAACACCACGGAACACACAAGAAACACAAAGAACACACACACGAAATAAGCACACGAACCACACAACACAAGAACACAAACACGAACAACAACGAACACACAAAAACAAAAGACACCACACACAGAACACACAAGAAACACAAGAAACACACACGAAAAACCACAAGAACACAAGAAACACACACACGACACAGACGAACACACACGAAAAAAAAATTAAACAGAAAAGAAAAAAAAACGAAAAACAAAAGAAAAAAAAGAACAAACAATCGAAAAAAGAAAAAAAAAAAAAAAAAAAAAGAAAAAAAAAAAAAAGAAAACTACAAACGAAAAAAAAAACGCTCCATGAAAGAAAAGAAAAAAAAAAACGAAAAAAAAAGAAAACAAAAAAACTGAAAAAAAAAATAAAAAAAAGAAAAAAAAAAACGTAAAAAAAGAAACAACAACAAGAAAAAACAAGAAAAAAAAAAAGAAAACAAAAAGAACAAAAGAGCAACAAAACAAAGAAAAAAAAAGAAACAAAAGGAAAAAAAAATAAAAAAAACGAAAAAAAAGATAAAAAAGATAAAAAACAAAAGAAAAAAACGAAAAAAAACAAGAAAAAAAAATATCAAAAAAACACGAAAACAAACGAAATAAAAGAAAAACAAACAAAGAAAAAAAAAAGAAAATAAAAGAAACACAAGAACAAAAAAAAATCAAAAAAAAGAAAAAAAACACAGAACAAAAGAAAAAAAAACAACGAAAACACACGAAAAAAAACGAACAACAAAGAACAATACAAAACGAACAAAAACACGAAAAAACACGAAAAAAAAGAACAAAAAAGAACAAAAAGAACACAAAACACGAAAACAAAAGAAAAAAAAACGAAAATAACACGAAAAAAGAACAACACACGAACAACACCAGAACACAAGAAACACACACACAAGAACACACACGTAACACACCCGGTAACCACAAGAAACACACATAAGAACACACACGAACACACACGAACACAAGAACACCACACACAACACACACGAACAAGAACATCAACACACGAACACACACGAACAGAACACGAACACAAGAACACAAACACGGAACAAAACACGAACACACACGAAACTACAAGAACACACACATAAAAAACCGAACACAAGAACACAAACACGAACACACCAAGAACACACACGAACACAAGAACACACACACGAATACCACACGAAACCAAACACGAACACAAGAACACACACAGAACACAAACGAACACCACACGAACACAAGAAGAACACACACGAAACACCGAAACACACACGAACACACACGAACACACAGAAAACAAGAACACACACAGAACACAGAACACCACGAACACACACTAACACAAGAACAACAAAACAAGAAACACACAAGAACAAAGAAACAAAACAAAAGAAAAAAAACGAACAAGAAAAGACACAAAAGACCAAAATCAGAACACAAGTAAACACAAAACGAAAACACACGAACACACACAGAAACAAAACGAAGAACACACACAAGAAAACCACAAACGAAACACAAGAACACACACACAGCGAACACAAAAGAAACCAAACACGAACACAAAACACACACACCGAACACGCACGAACAAAAGGGAACACACACAAAACACACACGAACACACACTAAAACACACGAACACAAGAACACACTACCACTAAACACACGAACACACACGAACTACACACGAAACCCCACAAAGAACACAAGACACACCACACGAACACACACGAACACACACAACAGACACCACGAACAAAAACAAGAACACACACACCAACACAAACGAAACACACCCGACCACCCAAGAAACACACACACCAACCACACACGAACAACACGAACACACACGAACATCCACGAACATACACGAACACAAGAACACAACACGAACAAACAAGAACAACACACACGAAACACCACACGGAAAAACACACAGGAACACAAGAACACACCCCACGGAACCCACAGAACACACACAAACACCAAGAAAAACACGAACAGCAAGAACAACACACACGAACACACACGAAAACAACACGAACACACACGAACACAAGGACAAAAAAACACACCCACAAAGAAAAACAAGAAAACAACACCACTAACACCAAACTACAAAAAACGAAACACTAAATACACACACACGAACACACAATAAACAAAAAATAAAACACACTAAACACACAACATAACACAATAACACCAAACACTAACACAATAACACCCACACTAAACACACTAACAAACCCACTAAACACAATAAACCACACACACAGAACACACACTAACACACAATAACACACACTAATTACACATAACACACCACATAACACCCACTAACACACACTAACACCCACTAAAACAACACTAACACAATAACACCACACACTAACAACAATAACACACTAAACAGACACAACCACACTAACACACCACTAACCCAAAACAACACACTAACACACACTAACAAACCACGAACACACACACAAAAGAACACACACACGAACCACGAAACACAAGAACACACAACACACACCACGAAAAACCACAAGGAACACACACGAACACGAGAACACACACGAATCACAAACGAACACAAGAACACCACACACGAACACAAAAAATAACACAAATTAACACCCACACACTAACACACACTAACACACAATAAACACAACTAACACACACTACACACACTAACACCCACTAACAACAATAACACACCACACAACACCACAATAACACACACTAACCACACTAACACAATAACACACACACAACACACGCAACACACACTAACACAATAACACCACAAAACACCAAACACAAAAATAAACAAACAATAAAACACAATAAAACACACAAGAACACAAAAGAAAAAATAAGAATAAAACAATCAATAAAAAAAAGAACAAACAACACGTAACACAACAAGAACACAAACAACAAAATAACACAAACAATAACCAAAACATAAAAACACTGCAAAACACACTTAACCAAACGAATAACAAAAAGTAAAACACACACTAAAAACACGAAAACACACTAACAAACACAACACAATAAACCAAAACCACTAAACACAATAACACACACGACCACACACTGAACACACACTAACACAATAATACACACACAAACAACACACTAACACACACGAAACACACACTAACAAACAATAACACATAACACCACCACACTAACACAAGAAAAACCACTAACACAACAAAACACACTAACACAATAACACCACACACTAACACACACTAAAAACACACTAACACCACACTAACACAATAAAACACACAATAACACCCACTAACACACACGAACACCCACGAACACAAGACTACCAAGAACCACACACACGAACACACACTAACACATAACAGAAACTAAACACACACTAACACACACTAACACAATAACACACACACTAACACACACTAACACACACTAACACACCACTAAACACACTAAACACAACACTAACACACTAACACACACTAACACACTAACACACACACTAACACACACTAACACACACGAACACGATAACCACAAAATAACAACACAATAAAAACAATAAAAAAAAAAAAAAAAAAAAAAAAAAAAAAAAAAACACACACACGAACACACAACGAACAAAATAACACAAACACTAATACACACTAAACAAATAACACAAAACAAAAACACAAACACACACAACACACAATAATTCACACAAACTAACACACACACACGACTCAACAAAACACTAACTCACACACACTGAACGCAAAACACACTAACACACACTAACACACACACATTAACACACACACACACACTAACACACACAAACTAACACACTAACACACTAACACACACACTAACACACAAACACTAACACACACAAACACTAACACACACACACACTAACTCACACACACAATAACTCACACACTAACACACACACTAACACACAAATTAACACACACACTAACACACACACACTAACACACACACACTAACTCACACACACTAACTCACACACACTAACTCACACACACTAACGCACAAATACTAACAAACACACACACAAACACACTAACACACACACACTAACACACACACACACTAACTCACACACCTTAAAATACAAGGCCTCTGCAGTTTTCTTTATTCTGACATGTTTCACTGAAATGACAATATGCTACTGTTGGTGTTTGTGATTAGGTGTTCAGTGTGTGAGGGCAGCTCCAATGCCATTGCCATCCACAGCCAGACCGCCCAGCTCCCAGACTGTCCTGGTGACTGGGAATCCCTCTGGACTGGATACTCCTTTGTCATGGTAACAACCTAGCCTGGTGGGACCATCCTGACCTTTGTCATGGTAACAACCTGGCTTGGTGGAACCATCCTGACCTTTGTCATGGTAACAAGTGGTAACAGTGGTCCTCTGTAGCTCAGCTGGTAGAGCACGGCGCTTGTAACGCCAAGGTAGTGGGTTTGATCCCCGGGACCACCCATACACAAAAATGTATGCACGCACGACTGTAAGTCGCTTTGGATAAAAGCGTCTGCTAAATGGCATATTATTTATTATTATTATTAACAACCTAGCCTGGTGGAACCATCCTGACTTTTGTCATGGTAACTACCTAGCCTGGTAGAACAATCCTGACCTTTGTCATGGTAACTACCTAGCCTGGTGGAACCATCCTGACCTTTGTTATGGTAACAACCTAGCCTGGTGGAACCATCCTGACTTTTGTCATGGTAACTACCTAGCCTGGTGGAACCATCCTGACCTTTTGTCATGGTAACAACCTAGCCTGGTGGAACCATCTTGACCTTTGTCATGGTAACTACCTAGCTTGGTGGAACCATCATGACCTTTGTCATGGTAACAACCTAGCCTGGTGGAATTATCCTGACCTTTTGTCATGGTAACAACCTAGCCTGGTGGAACCATCCTGACCTTTGTCATGGTAACAACCTAGCCTGGTGGAACCATCCAGACCTTTGTCATGGTAACTACCTAGCCTGGTGGAACCATCCTGACCTTTGTCATGGTAACTACCTAGCCTGGTGGAACCATCCTGACCTTGTCATGGTAACTACCTAGCCTGGTGGAACCATCCTGACCTTTGTCATGGTAACTACCTAGCCTGGTGGAACCATCCTGACCTTTGTCATGGTAACTACCTAGCCTGGTGGAACCATCCTGACCTTTGTCATGGTAACTACCTAGCCTGGTGGAACCATCCTGACCTTTGTCATGGTAACTACCTAGCCTGGTGGAACCATCCTGACCTATTTCACTTCACATATCAGTCTGGCATTCCTCTTCATTGAAACATTTTGAGCATATGTCTGTAATGAAGGGCATTATTCAAAACTAACTTGTCTGCGTTTGAATCACCTTCAACCAATCAGAGGAAGGCCTAATTCAAAGCACAGTGTTTGGCAACGTGTGATTTTGTCCTAGATCCACCTTTTGTTTCTGAGAGGATGCTGATTGGACCGATTCTAACTTATTGCAAATGGCCATCTATTGGAGAAAGGCCAGACTGATTCATCAAGTGAAACAGTCTGGTAAACGGGGCAATCAGGCTGGTTCCACCAGGCCACTAACAACCTGCTCCCTGTATTACGCATATCCATATACTGTTTCATATCTGTACAGGTTATGTGTAAATTGATAAATGCGATTGATATGAATGATATGAATGATATAATGATGTAAATGATATGAATGATAATGATGTGAATGATATGAATGATAATGATGTGAATGATATGAATGATAATAATGTGAATGATATTAATGATAATGATGTGAATGATAATGATGTGAATTATATGAATGATAATGATGTGAATGATATGAATGATAATGATGCGAAGGATGTGAATGATATTAATGATAATGATGTGAATGATATGAATGATAATGATGTGAACGATATGATGATAATGATATGAATGATAATGATGTGAATGATATGAATGATAATTATGTGAATGATAACGATGTGAATGATATGAATGATAATGATATGAATGATAATGATGTGAATGATAATGATGTGAATGATATGAACGATAATGATGTGAATGATAACGATGTGAATGATATGAATGATAATGATGTGAATGATATGAATGATAATGATATGAATGATATGAATGATAATGATGTGAATGATATGAATGATAATGATGTGAATGAAATACATAGTAGCAGCATGTGGAGCAGAGTCCATTGTGACATCATTCAAAACTCAGTCTAACTAACTCTCCTTCTCTATACTGCTCTACCCCTCACCTCTTCAAACCCCCGCTTTCCGTCTGCCGCTTTCCGTCTGCCGCTTTCCGTCTGCCGCTTTCCGTCTGCCGCTTTCCGTCTGTGGCTTTCCATCTGTCATCTCCTTTCTTTTCCCCTTTCTCCTCACCTCTCCTCGTTTTCTATACTCATCTTCTCCTTTCCATACCCTATTGCTTCCCATCTCTTTTCTCTTCCGCCTCTCTCCTTTTCTCCCAGCAAACGGGTGCGGGTGCTGAGGGGTCGGGCCAGCCTCTGGTCTCCCCAGGCTCGTGTCTGGAACACTTCCGCCAGGTCCCCTTCATCGAGTGTCACGGCCGGGGAACCTGTAACTACTTCCCTGACTCCTACAGCTTCTGGCTGGCCTCGCTCGACCCCAACCACATGTTCAGGTTAGAATCATCACAGCAGAGATTGATTCAGTGTGTATGTGCATGCTTGTGTGTGTGTGAGTGCGTGGTGGGGATTACGGTTCTGGAGGGCTGCAAAGTGTGTGCAGACGTTTGTTCGAGCCCAGCTCTAACATGAAATGTCCACATATCTATGCCCAACCCATCTATCTATACTGTATCATATTCTGTTTTGTTCTACAGTGCCTTGCAAAAGTATTCATCCCCCTTTGTTGCATTAAAACTTGTAATTCAAATTGATTTTTATTTGGATTTCATGTAATGGACATACAAAATAGGCAAAATTGGTGAAGTGAAATGAAAAAAAATCAAAAAAATTACGGAAAAGTGGTGCGGCAGTATTTATTCACCCCCTTTGCTATGAAGCCCCTAAATAAGATCTGGTGCAACTAATTACCTTCAGAAGTCACATAATTTGTTAAATAAAGTCCACCTGTGCGCAATCTAAGTGTCACATGATCTGTCACATGATCTCAGTATATATACACCTGTTCTGAAAGGCCCCAGAGTCTGCAACAACACTAAGCAAGGGGCACCACCAAGCAAGCGGCACCATGAAGACCAAGAAGCTCTCCAAACAGGTCAGAGACAAAGTTGTGGAGAAGTACAGATCAGGGTTGGGTTATAAAAAAATATCCGAAACTTTGAACATCCCACGGAGCACCATTAAATCCATTATAAATAAATGGAAAGAATATGGCACCACAACAAACCTGTCAAGAGAGGGCCGCCCACCAAAACTCACGGACCAGGCAAGGAGGGCATTAATCAGAGAGGCAACAAAGACCAAATATAACCCTGAAGGAGCTGCAAAGCTCCACAGCGGAGATTGGAGGATCTGTCCATAGGACCACTTTAAGCCGTACACTCCACAGAGCTGGGCTTTACGGAAGAGTGGCCAGAAAAAAGCCATTGCTTAAAGAAAAAAATAAGCAAACACGTTTGGTGTTCGCCAAAAGGCATGTGGGAGACTCCCCAAATATATGGAAGAAGGTACTCTGGTCAGATGAGATTAAAATTTAGCTTTTTGGCCATCAAGGAAAACGCTATCTCTGCCGCAAACCCAACACCTCTCATCACCCCTAGAACACCATCCCCACAGTGAAGCATGGTGGTGGCAGCATCATGCTGTGGGGATGTTTTTCATCAGCAGGGACTGGGAAACTGGGCAGAATTGAAGGAATGATGGATGGCACTAAATACAGGGAAATTCTTGAGGGAAACCTGTTTCAGTCTTCCAGAGATTTGAGACTGGGACGGAGGTTCACCTTCCAGCAGGACAATGACCTTAAGCATACTGCTAAAGCAACACTTGAGTGGTTTAAGGGGAAACATTTAAATGTCTTGGAATGGCCTAGTCAAAGCCCAGACCTCAATCCATTTGAGAATCTGTGGTATGACTTAAATATTGCTGTACACCAGCGGAACCCATCCAACTTGAAGGAGCTGGAGCAGTTTTGCCTTGAAGAATGGGCAAAAATCCCAGTGGCTAGATGTGCCAAGCTTATAGAGACATACCCCAAGAGACTTGCAGCTGTAATTGCTGCAAAAGGTGGCTCTACAAAGTATTGACTTTTGGGGGGGTGAATAGTTATGCATGCTCAAGTTTTCTGTTTTTCTTGTCTTATTTCTTGTTTGTTTCACAATAAAAGGTATTTTGCATCTTCAAAGTGGTAGGCATGTTGTGTAAATCAAATGATACAAACCCCCCCCAAAAAATCAATTTTAATTCCAGGTTGTAAGGCAACAAAATAGAAAAAAAGCCAAGGGGGGGTGAATACTTTCGCAAGCCACTGTATGCTATACTCAACTATACTAAACTATGTTGGATTTCATTTGATGTTGTAGACTTGTGTTTTATGACGTAACTGTCAACTCTAATGGTATAATGCCCTGTATTTTACAGCACAGTATACAGTAATACTGCGTCAGATTGGACTAAACCATACGTCGTGGTGCTACTCCAAAGAGAGCCTATTTCCTTACAGAGCATACTTTACTGATCTGGGGGGGGGGGGGGGGGGACATGATCCTAGATCAGCCTGTTTTGTGTGCTCCCCCATGCAGTAAGCCTGTGCCCCAGACGGTGAAGGGACGTCTTCTAGAGAATGTCATCAGTCGCTGCCGCGTCTGCAGGAAAGCACATGGCCATGGCAGTGTATTGTAACTCACGTACAGCCTCGGGCATTGCAAAAAATGAACCATTACTTTGACGGATGAGACTTTAACAATGATAATAATCATATTCTAATGTCTTTATAATGAGGTGTTCTTTCAGACAAATCCAGCCAAGTGTTCGGAACGTGTAAGATACTATTTGTAACCTGGTATGGTTCCCAGTCCGAAAGACACGGCTGAATTATTCTGAATCAAGACTGACATGTTTTTTAAGATACCATGGAACTACTGTTAACATTACCTTCTGGGTTGTATTGCATTGAGCCCTCCATGACTCGCACTAAGGACCATACAAATGTGATTTTAATGTAACTAAGTGGTTTTATACAGTCTCAAGCACTGTACTGTATATAGCTATTGTGTTTGGTTAGGTTTTATTGACATGTATGTTTTTCAGGTCTTTTGTCATTTGATCAAGTATATTTGATAATGTATCTCAGTTATCCCCTTCAACATAGGTGCTCTCACACAAAACAACATGTGATTTTTGTATTTGCACAATTTCTTATTACACTGGTTGGATAATGCCACATAAACATTCACTCAAAGTTGCGTCTGTGTAATTACTTGAGTTTAGGTCTAAATGTCATAAAATGTTCTGCGCATAACATCTACGTTTTTACATTGACCTTTTAGTCATTTAGCAGACGCTCTTATCCAGAGCGACTTAGTCATCTTAAGATAGCTAGGTGACACAACTAACCACATATCTCAGTCATAGAGTAAGCACATTTATCCTCAATAAAGTCTAACTATACTCGTTGCCATAAATAATGGAACGTCTCTTCTCTCCATGTAACGTCTCTTCTCTCCTTGTAACGTCTCTTCTCTCCATGTAACGTCTCTTCTCTCCTTGTAACGTCTCTTCTCTCCATGTAACGTCTCTTCTCTTCTTGTAACGTCTCTTCTCTCCATGTAACGTCTCTTCTCTTCTTGTAACGTCTCTTCTCTCCATGTAACGTCTCTTCTCTCCATGTAACGTATCTTCTCTCCTTGTAACGTCTCTTCTCTCCTTGTAACGTCTCTTCTCTCCTTGTAACGTCTCTTCTCTCCTTGTAACGTCTCTTCTCTCCTTGTAACGTCTCTTCTCTCCTTGTAACGTCTCTTCTCTCCTTGTAACGTCTTATTCTCTCCTCTGTAACGTCTCTCCACCTTGTAACGTCTCTTTCTCCTTGTAACGTTCTCTTCTCTCTTGGAACGTCTCTTCTGTCCTTGTAAACGTCTCTTCTCTCCATGTAACGTTCTGATTCCTTGGAACGTATCTTCTGTCCTTGTAAAGTCATCTCTCTCCTTGGAACGTCTTTCTGTCCTTGTAACGTCGCTTCTTCCTTGTAACGTCAGCTTTATCCATGGAACGTCTCTTCTTATCCATGTAACGTCTCTTCTGTTCCTTTGTTGTAACGTCTCTTCTCTACAATGGAACGTCTCCTTCTCTCCTTGTAACGTCTTTATCCATTTGTAACGTCTCTCTCTCCAGTTGTAACGTCTCTTCTTCCATGTAAGTCCTCTTCTCTCTTGTAACGTCTCGTCTTCCTGTACCGTCTCTTTCTCCTGGTAACGTCTCTTCTCTACTTGTAACGTTCTTCTCTACTTTGTTAACGTCTCTTCTCTCCTTGTAACGTTTCTTTATTCCTTGTAACGTCTCTTCTCTCCTAGTAACGTCATCTTCTGCTCCTTGGTAAGTCTCTTCTCGCTTGTAACGTCTCTTCTCTCCATGTAAGTTATCTGCTCTTCCTTTTAATGTCTCTCTTCTCTCATTGTACGTCTCCTCTTCCTTGTGTACGTCTCTTCTCAATGTACGTCTCTTCTTCATTGTAACGTCTCTTATCTCCATGTAACGTCTCTTCTATCCTTGGAACGTCTCTTCTCTCCTTGTAACGTCTCTTTGGTCCTTGTAAGTAATTTTCTCTCCCTTTAACGTCTCTCTCTCATTGTAACGTCTCTCTCTTCTCTCCGGTAACGTCTCCGTCTCTCCTTGTAAGTCTCTTCTCTCCTTGTAAAGTCTCCTATCTCCTTGGACGTCTCTTCTCTCCATGTAACGTTCTTCTTTCATTGTAAGTCTCTTCCTCTCCTTGTAACGTCGCTTCTCATGTAACGTTCACTATCTTGGACGTCTCTTCTCTCCATGTAACGTCTCTTCTCTCCTTGTAACGTCTCTTCTCTCCATTGTAACAGTCTCTTCTCTCCTTGTAACGTCTCTTCTCTACTTGTAACATCTCTTCTCTCCTTGTAAACGTCTCTTCTCTCCTTGTAACGTCTCTTCTGTCCTTGTAACATCTCTTCTCTCCTTGTAACGTCTCTTCTCTCCTTGTAACGTCTCTTCTCTCCTTGTAACGTCTCTTCTCTCCGTGTAACGTCTCTTCTCTCCTTGTCATGCTGTCAGGGTACTGTACTGTTAACGAGTGGGTCAATAGGCCCCCCAGGCCCACTGAAGCCGATTCACCCCAGTGGAATAACTTTGATCCGAGGCTGCCGGATCATCTTCATTCATCTTTATGGCCAATCACAGTAGTTAGCATTAGCCTGCAGTATGCTGTTATGAGAGGTCAGTCCCGATTACTTGAGCATGAACAACACAACTGAAGGCTTGCTTTGATGTTTAACATTGTTGGAAATAATATGGTGCCATGTAGCAAACTTCATTGTTTGCATGGCAAGATGAAAATATTTTTTTTTAAAGGCACTGAAACATTATTATTGACTAATTCCAAGTTAGACCTTGAAACTCACTTAACCAGATCGATATTGATAAGGAACTTGTGTGAACCTGAAATGACCATCTAGATGTCATGGACTATTCAGTAGGAAAGAGATCCATCACACAGCACTGATGTCATTAAGATTCTATCACACATGAGTAGGGTGCACACCACTTTGGTTGGCAGGGAAACCGCCTTCATAGCGAACTGAGAGAACAGGTCTGGACAGGACATCCTATGTTTGAATAGGTTTGGACAGGACATCCTATGTTTGAACAGGTTTGGACAGGACATCCTATGTTTGAACAGGTCTGGACAGGACATCCTATGTTTGAACAGGTCTGGGCAGGACATCCTATGTTTGAACAGGTTTGGACAGGACATCCTATGTTTGAACAGGTTTGGACAGGACATCCTATGTTTGAACAGGTTTGGACAGGACATCCTATGTTTGAACAGGTTTGGACAGGACATCCTATGCTTGGAAATAACAAATGATGTGAATGTGTGAGGTCAGTGTACTAGTGAAAGCTGGCTATAGCCGGTAGCTACTGGGAAAACACAGGTGGCTGTAAGTCTACATTCACTTTCCACAGTAAACTGTTTTGTTTCCACACTTTAATTCTACTCCACAATTTACTGTTAAGTAACAGACTAAAAGACCAACATCCTGTTCCTGAAATATAACATTATTTATTTGTTAACTTCCACAGCCACAATCTCTATAACCAGAATCCCTTCATTTCCTCAATAAAAAGACAAGCAACATACTGTAGCTGTCCATGGTGCTGAAGGTCAACATACGGTAGCTGTCCATGGTGCTGAAGGTCAACATACGGTAGCTGTCCATGGTGCTGAAGTTCAACATACTGTAGTTGTCCATGGTGCTGAAGGTCAACATAACGGAGCTGTCCATGGTGCTGAATGGCAACATAATGGAGCTGTCCATGGTGCTGAAGGCCAACATTATGTAGCTGTCCATGGTGCTAAAGGTCAACATACGGTAGCTGTCCATGGTGCTGAATGGCAACATAATGGAGCTGTCCATGGTGCTGAAGGCCAACATTATGTAGCTGTCCATGGTGCTAAAGGTCAACATACTGGAGCTGTCCATGGTGCTGAAGGTCAATAGAAAAGTCCAATAAGGTGTTACAGCAACGAGTTAGTAAAAAAAAACAACCTCAATTTGTTATCGCCTGCCTACGTATGTGCGTGTGTGTGTGTCTGTATTTATGTGTGTGAATGCCGGCTGATTAGGCGGTCCAGCTGGACATTTAATCAGCCAATTCCATGGGCTTGCTGAGCCAATGGTGACTGGGACGGAGGTTCACCTTCCAGCAGGACAATGACCTTAAGCATACTGCTAAAGCAACACTCGAGTGGTTTAAGGGGAAACGTTTAAATGTCTTGGAATGGCCTAGTCAAAGCCCAGACCTCAATCCAATAATACAACGTTATATATGTCCCACCATGCACCATGATAACAAAGCCCCAGCATCTTTAAAACACACTGATTTGATGTAAGGCAATAACAGACATAAGTGACATGTGCCAACTATACTTAAAATGTCACATTTGTTACGTATTCTAATGAGACCATGTTGAAGAGCACAGTAATCCATTGGAAGGTACTACTACCACTGCTAATATTAAAAAGCCTAGAAAGCCACTTTCTAATGTGCATCCTAACACTGCTTTGACTGGAAGCAATATAAGAAACCATACACTATCTCTTTTTATCTTAAAATACCTCTACTTTCTCATTTGTGCCCTATAGGCTTCTTCAGATGTTGTGGACACCATGCAAGGTGCCATGAACTTGTGAGGGACGTGCACTATTACCTCCTACACTGATAGGATTAATCCACTCAGTGGAAGAGGTAGGAACCTTACTAATGGTAGTGTCGCTACATGAGCCTCCTATAGTATATCATTCAATAAAGTAATGTGCTATCCCCCTTAAATGGACAATCTGCAGTTGAAACAATTACTAAGTCATCCCCGCCACTGTTTCTTTAAAAAGCTGAGGGATGGGGCTGGAAAAATGTAACCACTGTCAAATTCATCGACAGAGCTACTGACGCAAGGACTGACCGTCCATGCTATAAAAAAAAGTATAGTTTTGACCATGTTTTGAGGCTATACAGTGTTTGTTTAAATGTACTTTGTTTACAAACATAGGAGTAAATAAAGCTTATATTTGGGATTCTGATGGGGTTGAACTAAGCTCACGAAGCATTTATAAGGTATATTCTTTAAGAATCAATGTGTGGGCTACATATCATTAATTTATTTGTTTAAATAAATACGTATCAACTGCAGATTGCCCCTTTAAGGGCCTACCTCCTTCCCTTTCAAGGTGAACTCCATTAAGAGGATCCACATTATTTTGTCTTCGGCTTGCCAACCATGACTTTCTAGGTATAGGAATCCTCAATGGCTTGTGATAACAACATAAAACATGCATTTTCATTCAGCATAATCTCAGGGACTGGTCAGCTATGGCTGCTGTGTCAATACATACACCGTATGCTACAACCAGGGGCAGGTCCATTTTTTTTGCCCAGTGGGCCTGTGTAACTTGGGTTTTTTGCACAAAATGATCATTATTTGGCTAATAATGGGGGCCTCAAGTAAAAATTGACCGATGTGGGGACCTCATGGGGAAAAAAATGGGCCGGTGTGTTAGAAATGCCAGGGCCGATTTCTGGTCCAAGTCTGCCACTGGCTACAACTGTAATAAGAGGGTGGGAGAGTGGGGACTACGGACAATATATACGTCAAACAGAGTGTAAATCTCATTAATAGGCAGAGGGAACCAGTGTGAGCATTCCGCGACGATGAGCGACTTCCGCGAACTCTGGATTCCCCAATGTCTACCCGTTTTATGGCGCAGAAAAAGGGTTAAATGAGATCACTTTTGCGCCGTGTCGGTGTCATTAACTTTTTATTTCACATGAGCGCACATTGCGCGGACAGTTGCGCGGAAACCAGCTTGTACTAGCAGAGTGTGTGGATCTGTGTGCATGCAAATATGTGAAAACAACCGATGATGACATGACGTACACTTATGCCTCTATATCCGCAATGACGTGAGTGTGGGTACCAGTTATAGCTGAGGCACACAGCACAAGTGGAATTTATGGTCTGAATAAATGGTGCGTTAAACACTATAGGCTACAAATGAAAATTACCTGTAACAATTTCTAATTATGATCCAACATCTCGTTGTAAAATATGCGGTCTTGCAACTATGAGAAGAACAAGAGTTGCCTTTAGTTCCAGACGCCTAATGACTGTTGTAAATGATCTGTCACATCACATGCTTTACTGCGTCACTGAGGACAAATACAATTTGAGGACTCTCTTCACCCTCATCCTACACAATACATTGGTTTAAAAAGAACCAGCTTCCGAGGTAGCTGAAAGTTAGTCACAGTTTCGTTCATCATTCTATCTTGGGACATCTCATCTATACCAGCTCGAGAGACCTACCAGAGTCCAGATGGCCCTCACCGGAATCTGGTGCGCATTTGTGCTTGTGTGTGTCAAGCTGTGTCAGACGGGGAAGATCGACTCTGTCGGAGGGTCGTCGGATCTCAAGCTCGGACACCAGGATAAGCCAACATGGCTCGAAACATTACAGGAGAAACAGGTGAGGAGCATGGTGTTCTGTTAGTACCTTTTCAGGGTTTGTGAAAATTAGGCGATATAAAGTTGACTTTACTTAGTGGAACGAATGAATTGAGTGGATCTGTCCATGGTTCTGAAATGGCTAATTGGCAGAATGGCAGTAAACGCACAAAATGATAGGCTACTTCACTTTGGATGTTTTATTTTAGTAGGCTAGCCTACCTATGCTAGGCTATTTGCCATTTTAATTAACAAGGAATGCATTTAACATTTGCAGCTATGTAAGAACATATCGTTTTCCTTTCACAGGTATCCGCCGACGACAAATACAACCTCGCCTGGCTGCTTTACAAGCTTCCACAGTCACACCACGACAACACGTTCAAAACAAACTTTCTCCCTCATGGACCGGAGAGTGTCGGGAAACAGGAGAGTAGGCGCGAGACTATACCGCCGGACTCGCGCGTTCGCAAACAAGGATGCAAAGTGTTCTTTTGGAAGTCATGGACCGCATGCTGACAGGCTTGTCTACTTTTTACTCCGAAACAGATGGCCTTCGAATTGACGACAGCTTTCATTCCAAATCCTTACCAGCTTGCCAACGTTTTTACGAAATTGTTAATTTAACTTATTATTTTTATTAATGTTAAGTTACATGGTTGTGAGGCTATAGCCTATTTGTCAAATTTGAATAAAATCTGAATTATTTATTCATCGTTGGTCTCCAGAATAATACTCTCTCTCTCTCTCTCTCTCTCTCTCTCTCTCTCTCTCTCTCTCTCTCTCTCTCTCTCTCTCTCTCTCTCTCTCTCTCTCAATTCAATTTCAATGTAATGGGGCTTTATTGGCATGGGATGTGTACATTGCCAAAGTGAAAAAGATAATAAACTAAAGTGAAATCTCTCTCTCTCTCGGTCTCTCTCTCATTTCTTAGAATGGTAGGTAGTATTTATTAGAACAGTAGGCTATGGATCATACAGATTACAAAACACAGATTAGAACGCGATTGATACATCCATTTTTGTTTTAACTTTTAAATGAATGATGTATACCATAGATTATTTTTATTATTTTTTTGGACATTTTTATTATTTTTGTAATTTTTTGTTGGCGGGGGGGGGGGGGGGGGGGGGGGGGGGGGGGGGGGGTTACAGGAGCATGATCCATTTCAAATGATACGTTTCTAATAACCTGTAACTGTAGGCTGCCACTCATTGATTATTGAAGAATATAACTTATACATTTGTCATGATCTTAGTTCAACTGTCGTACCACATCAGAACCCAAAATATAAGCTTGTTTTACTCCATAGTTTGTAAACAATGTAGGCTAATTGTAAACAAACACTGTATAGCCTCTAAACATGGTTAAAAACTATCATTTTGACATCTTGGATGGTCAGTCCTAGTATTCATAGCTCTGGCTATGAATTTGAGAGTGGTTACATATCTCCAGCCCCATCCCTAAGCTGTTTACCAAAACAAATAAAATACAATTAAATGTTATTGGGTATTTAGCCGATGTTATCGCGGATGTAGCAAAAACGCTTAGCTCCAACAGTGTAGTAATACCTGACAATACAAAACAATAAACGCAAATCCAAAAAATATTATTAAGAAATATAGAAATATTAGAATGAGCAACAGTTTTTTAAATTATAAGAGAAACAAATATTCAATTTTATTTGGAACGGCAAGCAAGACAAAATTAAACGGCCTATTTATATAATGAATATGAATTCAGAGGTTTATTAATTTATTAAATATTAAAGCATTCAACCTATCACTAAAAGTTTCAGTCATACAAAAGTTATACTTAAATCCGAACTGGTTCTCTTGCAAATTAGTACAATTGTCTCACCCAATGTTCAAGAATGGCCTTTTCCCCTTTATTCAGATTACAACCTCACACTTTCAGTTATTTGAAAAGGAAATCATCTCCCAAATATCACTATTTCTAAAACAAGCCATAGAAAGTTGGTTGCAATTTCAATTTCATCCTCCAGAAACGACAGAACAAATAATGCAACAAATATTGTGGTTAAACTCAAATATACTAATTGATAAAAAATCATATTTTATTTGACAAAATGTTTAAAAAAGGTATAATCTTCATAAATGATATCATCGGTAGGACTGGTGGAGTTATGTCGCACATGCAGCTAACAAAAACATATGGAAATGTCTGCTCTACCCAAAATTACAACCAAATAATTGCAGCATTACCGCAAAAATGGAAGAGGAAAGTGGAAGGGGGGAAATGTAAGGAACTTGTCTGTCGGCATTGCATTAAAGAACATAATTGGTTAAAGAAAACTGTGATAAATAACAAAGTATACCAGTTTCATTTAAGGACCAAAGGATTGACAGCCATCCCATATAGATTGCAAAATAGTTGGGAAGAGATGAATAGAAAAGGTGTGCAGAGCAGTAGTTATATACAGTGGGGGAAAAAGTATTTAGTCTGCCACCAATTGTGCATGTTCTCCCACTTAAAAAGATGAGAGAGGCCTGTAATTTTCATCATAGGTACACGTCAACTATGACAGACAAAATGAGAAAAAAAATCCAGAAAATCACATTGTAGGATTTTTAATGAATTTATTTGCAAATGATGGTGGAAAATAAGTATTTGGTCAATAACAAAAGTTTCTCAATACTTTGTTATATACCCTTTGTTGGCAATGACACAGGTCAAACGTTTTCTGTAAGTCTTCACAAGGTTTTCACACACTGTTGCTGGTATTTTGGCCCATTCCTCCATGCAGATCTCCTCTAGAGCAGTGATGTTTTGGGGCTGTCGCTGGGCAACACGGACTTTCAACTCCCTCCAAAGATTTTCTATGGGGTTGAGATCTGGAGACTGGCTAGGCCACTCCAGGACCTTGAAATGCTTCTTACGAAGCCACTCCTTCGTTGCCCGGGTGGTGTGTTTGGGATCATTGTCATGCTGAAAGACCCAGCCACGTTTCATCTTCAATGCCCTTGCTGTTGGAAGGAGGTTTTCACTCAAAATCTCACGATACATGGCCCCATTCATTCTTTCCTTTACACGGATCAGTCGTCCTGGTCCCTTTGCAGAAAAACAGCCCCAAAGCTTGATGTTTCCGCCCCCATGCTTCACAGTAGGTATGGTGTTCTTTGGATGCAACTCAGCATTCTTTGTCCTCCAAACACGACGAGTTGAGTTTTTACCAAAAAGTTATATTTTGGTTTCATCTGATCATATGACATTCTCCCAATCCTCTTCTGGATCATCCAAATGCACTCTAGCAAACTTCAGACAGGCCTGGACATGTACTGGCTTAAGCAGGGGGACACGTCTGGCACTGCAGGATTTGAGTCCCTGGCGGCATAGGGTGTTACTGATGGTAGGCTTTGTTACTTTGGTCCCAGCTCTCTGCAGGTCATTCACTAGGTCCCCCTGTGTGGTTCTGGGATTTTTGCTCACCGTTCTTGTGATCATTTTGACCCCACGGGGTGAGATCTTGCGTGGAGCCCCAGATCGAGGGAGATTATCAGTGGTCTTGTATGTCTTCCATTTCCTAATAATTGCTCCCACAGTTGATTTCTTCAAACCAAGCTGCGTACCTATTGCAGATTCAGTCTTCCCAGCCTGGTGCAGGTCTACAATTTTGTTTCTGGTGTCCTTTGACAGCTCTTTGGTCTTGGCCATAGTGGAGTTTGGAGTGTGACTGTTTGAGGTTGTGGACAGGTGTCTTTTATACTGATAACAAGTTCAAACAGGTGCCATTAATACAGGTAACGAGTGGAGGACAGAGGAGCCTCTTAAAGAAGAAGTTACAGGTCTGTGAGAGCCAGAAATCTTGCTTGTTTGTAGGTGACCAAATACTTATTTTCCACCATCATTTGCAAATAAATTCATTAAAAATCCTACAATGTGATTTTCTGGATTTTTTTTCTCATTTTGTCTGTCATAGTTGACGTGTACCTATGATGAAAATTACAGGCCTCTCTCATCTTTTTAAGTGGGAGAACTTGCACAATTGGTGGCTGACTAAATACATTTTCCCCCCACTGTAGGATATGCCTTGACCTGAATACAGTATATACATATGAAGTGGGTAAAACAGCATGTAAACATGATCAAAGTTACCAGTGTTCAATGACTATGTACATGAGGCAGCAGTTTCTAAGGTGCAGGGTTGAGTACCGGGTGGTGGCCGGCTAGTAACAGTGACTAAAGTTCAGGGCAGGGTACTGGGCGGAGGCCGACTAGTGGTGACTATTTAACAGTCTGATGGCCTGGAGATAAAAGCTGTTTTTCAGTCTCTCGGCCCCAGCTTTGATGCACCTGTACTGTCAACAGTGGTGGGATGGCTGCTTTTTGTTAATTGTTTGAACTGCAGATTGCCCCTTTAACTCTTACTAAAATCAAGGAATGTTTTTTTCCTTGTGTTGCATTTTGATAGCTGGTGTATCATGTGCTGCAGCACTACATCAGCAGCAGAGGAGGCTCTTTGCCTGATGCTCCACTCAATCTACCTGAAATTCATAACATGTCTGCAGTACCCTAGATGTAGTTCAATACTCCATGCACTACAGTAGTAAAGATATGAACACATCATCGTTCTATATGGATATTCACTTGCCCGTGCACTTCTATATGACATTAACTGGACTATTTAGTATGCTGCCTAAACTGGGTAGTCTGTGATTCTGAGTATACCTGGTATGCTCACGAGAGACTGAGTTTGTGATGTGTAGGCATACTGAGGTATCGGACTGTGAAGCAACACAAACATAGGCACAGACACATGCACACACACACACGATAACATACACACTATACACACACGTACACATGGATTATGTGTTGTAGATATGTGGTAGTGGAGTACGGGGCCTGAGGACACACACTTAGTGTGCTGTGAAATCTGTTATGAATGTATTGTAATGTTTTAAAATTGTATAACTGCCTTAATTTTGCTGGACCCCAGGAAGAGTAGCTGCTGCCTTGGCAGTAACTAATGGGGATCCATAATAAACCCCAGGAAGAGTAGCTGCTGCCTTGGCAGTAACTAATGGGGATCCATAATAAACCCCAGGAAGAGTAGCTGCTGCCTTGGCAGTAACTAATGGGGATCCATAATAAACCCCAGGAAGAGTAGCTGCTGCCTTGGCAGTAACTAATGGGGATCCATAATAAACCCCAGGAAGAGTAGCTGCTGCCTTGGCAGGAACTAATGGGGATCCATAATAAACTCCCAGGAAGAGTATCTCTGCCCTTGGCAGACTAATGGGGATCCATATAAACCCCAGGAAGAGGAGCTTGCTGCTTGCAGTAACTAATGGGGATCCATAATAACCCCAGTCAGATAGCTGCTGCCTGGCAGGACTAATGGGGATCCATAATAACCCCAGGAAGAGTAGGGGCCTTGGCAGTAAACTAATGGACCATAATAAACCCCAGGAAGAGTAGCTGCTGCCTTGGAGTAACTAATGGGGATCCATAATAAATACAAATACAAATACACCACAGGAGGTTGGTAGCACCTA